GCATGTCGGCTCCGACCTGGGCCCTTGACCAGCCCTCTCTAGTACCATATTCACATTTATGCACATCTCATTTCCAATCAAGGTATTGCTCACTAATGTTTATTTGATTTATTTTGAAGGAGGAAGGTCTAATCTAATCCAATATTTCCCCCCTTTAATATGTAGGCCAAACTTGGGGAGGTAGGTCCAATGTGGCATGATAAAAATAGGAATGGGCCAAACCATGGAATTAAGGGGTGATCATTAACCATATCTTTCATTCAAACATCAAATGGAATCTAAGACCCAAAGACTGAATATATATGGTGTGAGAAAGGGAGAGAAGCACAAGAGCATCATAGATGGGACCAAAAAGCACCCCCCTCCGCGCCCTAATTAAAGCTTGTTGCCCTTCTTTTATGAAGCAAGGGGGCATAAATAATAGCACATAAAGACCAAGCGCTGCTCCACAACACATGCTCCTTCCCTTAGAAAGAGACCCAAGTGATGGGTCCATCCTAACAAAATGTAATGAGTGAGAATAGATTATATTAGAATTACACTCATGGGTTACGACATGTACGGCCACTTGGTGGAATGCACAAAATAGTCCAATAACGTCCCTATGACGCTAGAGAGAGGTCAGTTGGGCTCGCAACCGGCCGGTTAGCAGGCCAGACAATTTATCCGATTTGGATTCAAAATTTAAATTTCAGATCAATGAAATTTGGATTCGGATCCAAAATTCAGATTCGAGAAGTAATTATGATCGGATTTGGGTACAGGTGGATCCGATCTGAATCCGACCTAATTTTTAAAGTAGTATATATATTATTTATATAGTTATATATTTACTAATAATATACATAAATTTTAAACTTTTAGAAGAACTAATACAGATTTCATGTACAATTCTCGAATTTGGACCCCATGTATAGTTTTTAGATCTGGATCTGGATCTGAACATTTTGGATCAGATTGGATATGGATTCGAATCCAAATCCCATATAACTTTTCGAATCTAGATAGGATCTCGGTGGATCTGGAGATCTGAAAGATTCTCAGCCCTACAAGTTAGTCTGACCCTTTTTTTTAATTTATTTTTTAGCCAGGGACCAGCCCTATGGTGCCTGGGCCTGCCCTACGGGGACAAGGGCCATGTTAGGGCAAGGGCGGCCTGGTCCATTGACACCCTTAGGTAGGAGGGAGTGCCCTTTTCTTCTCATGACAAATTGATCCTCTCATACATTGCAAATGAGAAGAATTATGAGCCAAGTGATATGAAAACGACCGCTTTTTGAAGGGTATGTGGGTTGATTATGGCCATTGATTTACTCTTGTTTGTCATTATGCAAAGGGCCATTTTAGCCCATAGGACACATAGTTTAGGAGATTGGTATCTAATGTACTAGTAGTAACAAAGAAAGGAACTCATGAAAGAATGATGAGAGAGAGAGAGGAATGCGAAAGTCTTTGTTTACTTGGACCGAGTTATGATGAGGGAATCCAAGAAGAAATAGGGAGACATGAATTATGAGCACAATCATGAGAGTGAGACCAAATCCTTCAAACTTACTACACAACTAACTTACAATTTTATTGTAGTTTTGCTTTTATTCACTAAAAAGGAATTGTAAGGTATTGTATTTTTTGTGTGTGTGAGGTATGTTATCGGTGGGAGTGGAGGGCCGACAATTGTGGGTTATGCCAAAAGTTTTTTTTTTTTTTTTTTGGTAATTCAGTGCGGAAGAAGGTCCCTACCTGTTTTTTTTATATAGATTAGGGAGTTTGTTTTTTGGAAGATGTGAGTAGATGATATTCGCAGGATTGAGAACCACAATGTGGTAACCAGTTTTCGAAAAACCGGCCGGTCGGAACCGGAATCGGCCAGTTAGCTCGCTACTAGTGGGGTGGCGATTCCGGTTAGGGCCGGGTTTTAGTGTACTAGTAAAAAAGCACAGCGTTCTGAAAAAAATCGACTAAAAATCCGGCCGGTTTGGCCTTGGACCGGCGAAATTTTGAAAAAATCGGCCGGTTCTGTGAAAGCCGGTTTGGTCTGGCATTATAACGGAATAACGGCGCACAGTAAATAATGGCCGTTACTTGTAACAGTGCCCGATATTTGAGTAGAACCTATGATCCGCCATTTTTTACAGCTTTTTGATGCTTTTTTTTGCCTTTTTTTGTTTTTTTGGCTCAATAATTATACTATACCTTCAAATCTTCTATAAATCGATCAATATTGAATAAAAAAACTCCAAGTTTAGATCGATTTTGACGATTTTTGGTGCGTTTTTTGGTGTTCTTGAGTTTTTATGAAAAATCCGCCATTCCTTTGATTTTGGCCTGGTTTTTCAGTTTTTTTCGATAAAAAGTTGGGGATTTTAATGATCACAGATATATATATATACTTCAAGACTCCTGATTTCATTGAAATGGAGATATTTGGGGCTCTATTTTGAGATTGAAGCCGACAAAGTAAGCCCGATCCCAATTTTCTTTAATTTTTTTTCTTAATCTTACAGCTTTTTTAGGATTTTTCAGACAATATTTGACTAGTATTATTTATTGCAATAAATAAAAGAACGATTTTTTATCAACAAAAATAAAATTTGGAGCTTGATTTTAGGAATTTAGGGCTTTTTTTGTTTTTAATATTGTATAATATATATATTTATAAAAATATGTTTTTTGTGATGAATACGATAATATATATACACAATATTTGTGTGAGATTATTGATTGCATAAAATAAATGAACAAATTTTAGAACAAAAACAAAAATTTGGAGGTCAATTTTGGGGATTTTAGAGTTTATTGAATGAAAAATAAAATTAATATTTTTTTTTGTGAAAATTGTTTTTAATGTTATATAATATATATATTTATAAAAATATTTTTTGTGATGAATATGAGAATATTTATAACCAATATTTGTGTGAGATTATTGATTGCATAAAATAAATGAACGAATTTTAGAACAAAAAGAAAAAATTTGGAGGTTGATTATGGGGATTTTAGGGTTTATTGAATGAAAAATAAAATTGATATTAATTGAATTAATGTCGAATTCTAGGTTGTCTTGCATATCTTCATAGTATTCAAATATTAATTTATATAAAAAGTTGTTTTAATTTTTTTTGTAAGATATTATATAATTATATACACTTAATCTAAGTTTTTCTATTTTTTTAAATTTTAAATTTTAAATTTTTTTATATGTTTTATTATTATTATTATTTTTTAAAAAAACGATTAACCACTCCTATTAGTCCGATTCCGATTCAAACAGCTCCAGGCCTTAAAACCGGTTAACTGTTATGGTTCGAATTTGCGAACATTGGTCTTATCTAAGCATAGGGGTGCTACCTCCACGACCCAACCCCTTACCTAAGGGTACAACAACACCTGCATAATGCGTGTTGGCAATCCAAATATAATATAGGACCGGGCTGGCCCTGTCCTAGGTCAAGCTAGCTCTATCCCTGTTGGACCTATCTAGGGTAGGCCCTGGCCCTACCTGATGCTACAACACTTTATTGCCCAAGCCCTAATTTTTCAAGACCGGTTGATAGGTGTGGGCCACCCCACCATAACCACATGTAAGTATATTGCAACCTCAAAGTTCGTTTAATGCAGTGAAATAATGTGAATTGTATGTGAGAAAGAGAGAGTATTTTCTTTGTAATACTCATTCTCTGAATGAAATTTACCCTTATCGCTAAAAAAAAAAGGAAAAAAAATTGTGGAATTGGAGCTTGTTGGGGTTTAGTAGTTAAGATGAGTTGTAATGCAAGGGGAAGGGGCAGGGGAGGAGGCGTGATGAATGCCAGGGTGGTTCAAAAGAGGACGAAAAGGGTGACAACTCAACTGTGCCTCCTGCATTTTCCTCGTTGCATTCTCCATCACTTCTTTCCCCCTCCAAATTCACATACCTCTAATACATCACTCTTTCAGATTCCCATAACGCCTCTCTCTCTCTCTCTCTCTCTCTCTCTCTCTCTCTCTCTCTCTCTCTACTCTACTACTACTCTCTCTCTCTCTCTCTCTCTCTCTCTCTCTCTAAGTTCAAGCAGTTGCTTTTGGTGGTGCCATCGCCCTCTCTCATTCTTCCTAGTTTTGGCCTACTAAAGTGATCTGCTACTGTGACAAGATATTGCACCATAATAGGAACCATGTCATGTGGGATTAGATTCTCTCTCTCTTGAAAAGAAAGAGTCTTTCATTGAAAGACTGACACTACACTTCCGGTTCCATTGCCCATGCAAAAGAGAAAGCTAGGTAGAGAGTAGGGCACCACAGAAGAGAGAGAGAGAAAACAGGGCACCAGAGGAGAGAGAGAGAGAGAGAGAGAACAGGGCACCAAGGAGAAAGAGAGTAGTGTGCAGATTGGAATAAAACTTTTTGCAGAATGGGCCTGAGAAAAGAAAGAGAATTGATTGGGTAGCCCTTAAACTGGTTACAAACTTGTATGAGCAAAGATGAATAGGGGCCACCACACACACTCTTTAGATGCCCCATCTACCATTTCACCACCTTATGCACACACAGATAGGAAAAGAAAAACTTCAATAACAAATGAAGACCCACTGCAAATGTTAGTACCAGAGGTTCAGTAGGAGGCTCATTATCCAAGGCCTTAAAAGAAAAAGAAACATAAGCAAAAGCAAGAGAGAGAGAGAGCATCTTCTAGTAGCTTCCTCTCTTTCTCTCTCCTCTTCTCTTGTTCTCATGTTAGAGAGAGAAAGCATGTGCTAGGAGGTGGAAATCTCCCTCTCCCTCTCTCTCTAACACACATAGTCCCATGTTCTAGACCCTAGTAACCCTTAAAAAACGCCTCTCTCTCTCTTTCTCTCCCTTCGAGTTATTTAATAGAGCAGTACATTGAATACATATCGAACCAACACTTTTTCAGACAGAACCCAAATCCAAATTATCATACCCTGTGCAATTAATAATCAGGAGGAGAGAGAGAGAGTTTCTTAATCACCATAGCTTAGAGAGAGAAAGAGAGATAGAGGTTTTGTTTTATATTCAGAAATGGCAGAGCCTGAGAACTAGGAGAGAGACTGAAGTCTGAGACTGACTGAACATGAAACAAATCAAAGATATGCCATTAAATCTCTCACTTCTTCATTAACACTTCTGATCCATAACTGATCGATTCTTCAAAACCATCACATGTAAAATCACATAAATGACTCTGAGAAACCCCATAGTATATGCCTTTACTACTTCTACAAGGCACCCTACCGCCCACCTCCAACCCTAACCTCCTCCTTATTACTACTATCTCTCTATATACATTCACCCACTGCACCCTTCTCTTCTTGTGAAACCTAACACAGAAGAGGAAATACACCAAACCCAGGCCCAACTTTCAATTCTAGAGAGATAAAGAGAAACCCAAGTTTGACAACATAATGTCTGTTTTAGAGAGAGAAAGAGAGGGGGAGAGAGAGAGACCCAATTTTTTGACTCTCATATATCTTCACCACCATATGTTTCGAGAGAGAGAGTATGAGAGAAAAATTTTCACAAACACTTTCCCATATGTCTTCATATGTTTAAAGAGAGAGAAGGGGGGGAGAGAGAAAGCAAAACAACTAAAGCTAAAAAAAATGAAAATTAAGGATGTAAAAGGGAAAAATTATCAGGAAACAAAAAAAGAAAGAATTTTCATCTTGGGTATCTTTGATCTTGCCTGTCTGTCCATAGTTTCTTTCACCTTTGTCATCTTTCATGGCAATGCACTGTATTGCTGCAGCTGCAAGTCTTGCCATGTCTGCAACCCATTCGAGCTCGCATTCGCCGTGTAAGCATTCTCAAACAACCACTCGGTGTTCATGTCGCCACTCTTTCTCACACTAAAACCACACATATCACTCTTCACACTGTCAACCCCTTGACCCGGTGCCCCGTGACTGCTCATCACCATTGCACCACCAGAACCAGCACCACCTCCATCTCTCTGATTACTTTCACTTTCTCCCCCTAAGAAGTGACCCCATCTTTGTTGTTGAAGCCTCCAATGCAAATCAGCATTCAAACAACTCAAAGACTCAATAGAGGAGGCCAGTCCACCATGAAAAAACCCCTGCTCTTGCACCTGAGAACCACTGCTGGAATTCATAATATTAAGAGGAATTGCACCCAAATCCAAAGAAGAGGGAGGAGTAGGGGAGAGAGAGCTCGGTTGTTCAGCAAATGGCATAAATGGGTGAGAGAGAGAAAGAGGAAGGCCAATTTGGTAGAGATCCATTGTAGAGGGAGAAAGACCATGGAGAAATTTTAGGGTTTCAGGTGCAATTGGGGTCGATGATTGTTGATCTAGTGTTAGGTTCTTCTGTACTGGCTGCTGTGGAGGGGCTGGGGATTTCGACGATGAGCGCTTGTTTTTACGACAACCACCACCAATTGGGACGTTGCGAAGGGCACCGCCCTTTGTCCAGTACCTCCGGCAGGATTTACAGAAGTGGCGGGGCTGGGCCAGGCTGTAATTATTGTAGTAACAGAATTTGGTGTTGGCGGAGTCGCACCGTGGGCAGCGCAGCACCTCTTCAGGAGGGCGGAGGATGGGGTTGCCACCGGCCGTGCCAGAAACGTTTTTATCAGGCATTTCTCGCCGGTGTTCTTCTTGCATCTCCACTGTAGAGAGAGAGAGAGAGAGAGAGAGAGAGAGAGAGAGAA